ACCTCCACAATCAGTGCCTGTGCCTTTGCAATCAGCACTGCAGCCTCCAGATGGAGCATCTCACACTCCTGCTACTTTACTGCGGCCTCCACAAACAGTGCCTGAACCTTTGCAATCAGCACTGCAGCCTACTAAGGCAGCACCCCAGCTTCCACAAACCATGCCTCACCTTTCAGCACATCAGCTTCCTCAAACAGAGCAGCAGCCCCAAACAACACTTCAGCCATCACAAACAGTGCCTCAGCCTTCACTGGCACTTCCACCTTCACTCATATTAATCCAGCGTCAACAAGCAACACCCCAGCTGCCAGAAGCAGTCCCTCAGCCCTTACAAGGAGCACCTCAGCCTTTGCAAACAGGACTGCAGCCTCCACAAACAACCCCTCTGCTGCCACAGACAGTGCCTCAACCATTACAAACAGTATCTCAGCTCCCACCAAGTGTATACCAGCCACCACCAACAATGCCTCAGCCTCTACACACAGCGCTTTATCCTTCACAAGCAGTTCTGCAGCCTCCACAAACTGTGCTTAATTCTCCCCAAACTGTGCTTCAGGCTCCACAAACATCACTTCAGCTACCACAAACAGTGATACACCCTTCATACACGATGTTTAAGCCTCAACAAGCAGCACATCAGCCTCAACAGACGGTACTCCAGTCTCCACAAGTAGTAGCTAACCCCACTCCACATCATGGAACGTTTGAGAGTAACCCACCTTCAGCACCATTTCTCCAATTCACAATGCCTCCCAATTTCTTTCCTTCACCAGTGTTAAACAGCACACTGCAAACTCCTCTTCAGCATGGTGTTCCGTCTTCCTTGACAGCCTCTCAGTCTTCCACCATGAGCTTACTTAGTGCTCTTCAAGATGACAAACTGGGACTGATACTGCCTGTGTTAGTGAGGATGGAGCACAAGATGGATCAGATTATGGCATTGTTAGGAGCTAGATCAAGTGCTGGAATAAATGTGATGAAAATGGAAAGCGAGCTGAATCCCGTCATGACAGGAAACCAGTCAAGTGCTGCTATGAGGGGAAACCAGTTGCCTTCTAGTATGACAGGCAAACAATCAAATCCTGCCACAATAGGAAATAAGTCAAATTCAACTTTGGCAGGAAACCGGCTGAATCAAGGAAACCAGTCAAATGCCATCACGATTGAAGATCAGTCAAATACCGATACCAATGCGCCTCAGTCTAACCCTTCGGCAATGGAAACATCGACTTCCTCCACGATGAACACTAATTTAAATGCTAGTTTGACAGAAGACGACACCTTGGAGGAAAACCAGGGAGATACCGACGTCGTGATGGAACCAAGTGCTGAAACTGCCAAGCAGACAACCCCTTCAGGCACTGGCAAGTCTACAGCTCAAGGACGTGCAATGCAACACAAAATGGCGAAAATATCTGAAAATACCTTGCCAAATGATTTAAACTTCCCCATATCGCGTGACAATATTATCGCATTACAAGCAAAGTCCACATCTACAATGAACTTTGCTGTGCGGTTGATGCGCGAAATGTTTACCCTAGATGAACTAGAGGGGAAGAATATTGCAGGAGCGAGAGGAAAAGATCGAGTGGATCCTAACAGGGTGGAAATAATCAAAGACATTGTTTTCCAGGTTTATCGTACTTCGCCATCAGACAGGGATTATGTTTGGAGGTGTTGTCGTAAAGCAATGGACTCTTTTATGCGTAGGATGAAGCGTGAACGGGTTCTGAAGAACAAACTTGCTGTTGTCACTGAAAGTAACTGACACATTTTGATAAACAAGTTTTCCTTTTCTTCAAATTAATTCGATGATAGCGGGATCTTTGTTAGTTTAGTACTTACAATAGTCTATTCCAGTCGTCAGGTTGTTTGGGGAGCAGCGCAAAAATACGTCTAGAGAGAAAAATGGGGGAAGCGAGCCAAGGAACCCCTCCCCTATATTCCCCTCGCCGCTTTTTCTCGTTACGCCGAACTCAACCTGAATCCCAGAACCCTTTCCCCCACTCCCAAGTGAGGGAAAGGGTACTGAGATCGAGGTTGCGCCCAACTAACGGAATGGCAGGAAAGGCTAGTAAAGTATGAATCAGGTATGCTGATATGGTTTGAGATTGAGATATTGTTTTCTTTAAAAATTATCATGGACGTTTTTGCAGCTGTTGCAGGACGTAGCTTTTCAGTTTTCACACTTTGGAAGTGCTTTGAGTTATTTTAGGGACTGATTACATGGCGAATTTCAGCCCGGGCTGAAATTTCAGCCTGGTTAGCCGGGCTGAAATTTCAGGCCGGCTTCTGAAACAAATTTTCATGAAATCAAATTGGCGATTACATGGAGAAGGATTCAGCCCGGGCAAACGGGCTAAAAAGTCTGAAAAAATCCCATGTAATCAAAACGGAATTTCAGCCCGGGCTGAAAAGCACGAGGAAATAAGATGGCTACCGCTACGAAGTAGAAGCTATCTCAGTGGAATAAAGGCGATAAAATAGAGAATCCCTCTAATTTTAAAGCTCAGATGGAATATAAGAACATCGTGACAAGGTTAAACAGCACGAGGCTGTCAGGGAGGCCATGAACTCGGCAAGCTCGAGGACATATTTTCTTTATATGCAAGTACGTCTTTCTGGCTAAGAGAGAGGTTTCGTTTCAGTTCCATCATCATTGTAGGGTGTTACTATCCCAAAAAGTTAAAAATTGAGCGCCAACAAAAGGTCAAACTATGACAGAAGCAATGCGCCTATTTTCACGATTCGTGTTCTCGGCGCCATTTTGATTCTCTGGAGACTTTTCGCACACAATTTCATATTTGGCGCCGAGGCTAATATTTCAGCCCGGGCTGAAATTCGTTATGTAATCGCAACAAAATTTCAGCCCCCCAAGCCGGGCTGAGATTTCAGCCCGGGCTGGAATTCGTCATGTAATCAGGCCCTTAGAGCTGTAAGTACTCCAACCCTGTCGAAGTATGTCACCCTCATCAGCCAATCAGGTCTAAAAGCAACTACTCTCTCTTATTTTCAGCGCATTTTCATCAGTTACGTTTTCCCGCCTTTGCCACATAAGTGTTTTCCCGCTCCTTTTTAATTCTTTGACAAATTTGTAGTACGATTTGATCAGTATTCTTGAGCTTACTGACGCATCTCGTTCGTTTGAACTTGTTCATTTTAAAGGTTACTAGAAAGTAAGCGAAACTGTGGAATTAAACTTGGACAACGCACACACCTGCTGCTGGCTATTCCGTTTTACGTAGGCGTTTTAACCGTTGGCTTTTTGGTTTCGCTGAAATTAACGATTTTATGTTTACAACTTCTCTGGATCAGTATTGTGTTCAATAAAAGAAAGTGCAAGTAAAGAATTTCCAGTCTTTGAATGATGTGTTATATTTCTATGTACCCCATTCCCTCATCCCCGCCTTATGCCGTTTGATTGCCGAACTAGCTGATATGTGAATGGTAATCCAAAATGATCCGTGGCTGCGTGGCACAGTAAACAGTTCAAAAGTTATAAATAGTAATAATTCAGTGCCAAAATAAATTCAATTATATTGCAGACGTTGCGGGTTTAGCCCTTACTTAGTGCTAAGTTTAGTTTTGAACAAAGCTAAACTTAGCACCGAGGAAGGGTCAGACCCGAAACGTCCACTATGTAACTGAATTTATTTTGGTCCTGAGTTATTACTATTTATAACTTTTTAGCTGATATATGGGTTCTGATATGGGTTATTGACCAAGCGTGAGGTCAAGGTGACTGGATATTGGCCAAGAGGTTTTTTGCTTGTTTATGGACCGAGAAGAGGTCGACGTCCATAAAAAAAAACAACAAAAACAGAATGAGGCTGATATCCAGCCATACCGAACAGACTTGGTCAATATGGGATAAAAGAGAAAAAAAAAGAAAAAATGACCTTCGGAGAAATTTTTCTTGTGGGACACAGCGCCTAATCCCTTGCGGACAAGCTTTTGGGGGTTGCTTCCATCAAGCAAACTCTATGCCAATGTCTTTTAGCTTCGTTGTGGACCGGGGATTAATGGAAGGGTGATAACTAAGTCGAAAACAGACTGTACTAGACCGTAGCTAGGTTTCGGTTCCGTTCTTTAGTATTCGGCGAAGCACCATCTTAAACACCTGAAACATGACATACATCAGAATCTCACTCAGGATTAAGCATTACCGCAAGAAATGTTCAGCTGGTCCTAGAGGCCAAGTAGAATGGAAAATAATTCTTAGAAGTACTGTACCTTTATACTACTGGCTTCAGTTTTGTTGCACTAAATTTATCACCCACCCATTTGTGATATAATTTTCTATTGTTGACGCTGAAAGTTTTCTGATGAAATATCATATTTTGTGGTGCCATGGAAGCAGAAATTTAGAAAGAATATGCAAAGATGACGACAAAAGAATATTTTTGTTGATTGTTTGATTGGTTTCTCAAGATCTAACATGTCCAAGTTAGCTTTCAAGCCATTCGTTGATTTTCCACTTACCCTTGTGACGTCACTGAATGGAGTATATCCGGGTCCTTTTCTGATGAAATACCGCAGGTTGGTGGTGTCATGAGCCAGCCGGACTAAAATATCAACAAAGAAAGTGGCTCGATTCGCCAAAACGAAAATGTTGCCCTAGCAAGATCTGCAGATGATTCCTGATGGTTTCGAACTATGAATTTAGTTTGTTAACAGTGACTTTACTTCGAAAATGGAATCCTTTATCCATTTGTTTGAAACACCATCAGGAAGTGGGACCCAAACTACCCGGGCATCTATGCCAGAGTGCCTGCCTCCAGAGGTAAACAGCGAGTTTTGCGCCCATTTTACCCGCATTTCTGTCCGTTAAGTAAACTTGTGCTTTCTGATCTTGTGCAGGTCGAAGAAGGAAATGTAGAATATAAGGTACGTTTATCCCTAAGGCTCTGGTGGTGTTGGTAATTTGCAGTTTTCGAACTGAAAAGCAGGCTCCTTTTGTAGCTTGCGCGGGAAAAATTATGTTCGTAAACTTAACCGACTTTTCCAGACATAATTTTTAATCCTGTTTATCGCTGCGAGGATACGAGAAACATATGTCAGGCTAAAGCGATTATTCTCTTTCTGGAAATGGTTACTGAGTTGAACATTGAGCTTATGCATATGTCGCCATCTTGTTTGTAAAATGCAAGATTATAATTTAGTGTTAGTTTTGTCTTCGTGGCATCTTTCGTCTGTACGAGACCTGAAATTTATTCAGGCTTATTATAAACTTCTGCCCCGACGACAAGTTAGTCCCGTTGAGATGAACTTAATTTTTTTCTGTGAATTTGGAATCATTTCATGAAATAAGGTATATCAAATATTTTTCTTCCTTGGGTGAAATTAGCTGACGTAGTTGTGTTGGAAGATGGAGAATTTACCCAGAACAGCAACTTTGTTATGGTGTGAAGACTAAGGTAACAGGTGTCTCAAAACGTAGTAACAACCCTGGTCATTACTAATGTCTAACGTTACTGTGACAGCTGAAGCTTGTAAACCCTTCTCCTTCTCGCCTTGAGCACCTGGTCACACAAATGAAGTGGCGTCTTCAGGAAGGTGAAGGAGAAGCAATTTACGAGATTGGTGTGGAGGACAACGGCATGTTTGTTGGTCTCACAAGAGAAGAGCTGGACTCTTCCCTCAGTACACTCAATGTCATGGCATCAAAATTAGGAGCTCACACTACCTTGCTGCGACGCCATGTGGTGGAAAATATCTTTAATGGTCCCAGTAGGCAGGTGGCAGAAGTCCTTGTCCGGCGCGTGCCAGANCTTGCGCGGGAAAAATTATGTTCGTAAACTTAACCGACTTTTCCAGACATAATTTTTAATCCTGTTTATCGCTGCGAGGATACGAGAAACATATGTCAGGCTAAAGCGATTATTCTCTTTCTGGAAATGGTTACTGAGTTGAACATTGAGCTTAAGCATATGTCGCCATCTTGTTTGTAAAATGCAAGATTATAATTTAGTGTTAGTTTTGTCTTCGTGGCATCTTTCGTCTGTACGAGACCTGAAATTTATTCAGGCTTATTATAAACTTCTGCCCCGACGACAAGTTAGTCCCGTTGAGATGAACTTAATTTTTTTCTGTGAATTTGGAATCATTTCATGAAATAAGGTATATCGAATATTTTTCTTCCTTGGGTGAAATTAGCTGACGTAGTTGTGTTGGAAGATGGAGAATTTACCCAGGACAGCAACTTTGTTATGGTGTTAAGACTAAGGTAACAGGTGTCTCAAAACGTAATAACAACCCTGGTCATTACTAATGTCTAACATTACTGTGACAGCTGAAGCTTGTAAACCCTTCTCCTTCTCGCCTTGAGCACTTAGTCACACAAATGAAGTGGCGTCTTCAGGAAGGTGAAGGAGAAGCAATTTACGAGATTGGTGTGGAGGACAACGGCATGTTTGTTGGTCTCACAAGAGAAGAGCTGGACTCTTCCCTCAGTACACTCAATGTCATGGCATCAAAATTAGGAGCTCACACTACCTTGCTGCGACGCCATGTGGTGGAAAATATCTTTAATGGTCCCAGTAGGCAGGTGGCAGAAGTCCTTGTCCGGCGCGTGCCAGATGATCAACAAGTGAGTAAGATTTTGTGGTTATCAGGTAGTTCACAATTACAGGCAAGCTACTTAATATAGGATGACCATTTACAAGAGAGAAGGGTGGAGAGACCTCATTTGGTCGCCAAAGGCACATGTGGGTATGGGATAGGGTCATCTGTAGATCTACAGGATATTTCTGTACAGTGGTTTAAGTTAGTGATCTTGAACATTCTGTTCCAAGACGCAAATAATAACAGATTATACGTATATAAGTTTGCAAGGTGCATGCTGTGGCCAGCCAGATTAACAACTACTGAAACTGAGGAGTTACACTTAACAGGATGACAATTTGGGTGTCATCGGCTTCCCTTGACAATTGTATTTTGTCAATGTATTTTCAGTTCATTGACATAAGACTTGCAGTGCTGGGAAATGTTGACGCTGGAAAGAGCACATTACTGGGTGTCTTGACCCATGATGAATTGGACAATGGTCGTGGACGGGCAAGGTTGAACCTTTTCAGACATCTGCATGAAATTCAAACTGGAAGAACATCGAGTATCAGCCATGAAATACTGGGATTTAACAGCAAAGGAGAGGTATGCACATAAATCAAAAGGCTATCGATAGTAAGCTCTACATTGTCGCTATGAGGTTGTCAATTGCTATGTAAGGCGAGTTTGGCAAGTAAGATTTTCATCTTGGGGCTAATGATTATATTGCAATGTTATCTAATAACTATTTTGTACAAAATATAATCTTAATATCAGATTACCAGATTGTGTGTACGTAATATTTAAAATGCTATATTATAATGGAATCTGTCTGTTTATTCATTTGAAGTATTATTTAAGTAACAGTAGATGATAGAATCATAAGTTATCTCAGGCTAGGCTAGAAATTACTTAAAGCCTTCATATATAGAAATTTTATTGTGTTGTATGTACTTATCATGGTGTTTTTGTCCAGGTTATCAACTACAGTGAATCGCGGACAGCAGAGGACATTTGTGAACAGTCATCTAAGCTGATAACTTTTATCGATCTTGCTGGACACCACAAGTACCTGAGAACAACAATATTTGGTTTAACTGGCCATTCCCCAGATTTTGCTATGTTGGTAATTGCCGCAAATGCTGGTATTGGTAAGAGATGCACATGTTCAACTGATCTACACCTGTCTTTCAAAGAATACATGTAGCATCTCTTTTACATGGGTTTCTAAAAGTGCTGACTTGATGTTTCTTCTTCATGTTTAGTGGGAACTACTAAAGAACATTTAGGCCTGGCCATGGCTCTGAAAGTACCAACCTTCGTCATAGTAAACAAGACAGACATCTGTTTACCAGCAATGGTAGAACGAACCCTGAGAGTACTTGATCGACTTCTAAAATCTCCTGGCTGTAATAAAGTACCAGTTGTTGTCAGAACAGAAGATGATGTGATAGTTGCTGCTACTAACTTCACCTCTAATCAGTAAGTTCACACTTGAATTGTCACATTTCCATCACTTCCTTAATTTAAATAATCCAGTCATTATCTCTTTACCAGATGATCGCTCTTTTATTACAATCCTTTAAACCCAAGATCTACTGGGCTTAAAAAATGTTATTTACTACTGTTTTTTCCCAAGGAGAGAAAAACACTGTGGAAAACGTCTCAGCTGCTTAAGAACTTCGCTCTCTGCTCCCTTTTTTTGACTCATGAGACATTGAATAAATCTAGAAACATATAAATACCAACAATCATCTGCTATCAGACCACACCCACTAAGCAGCATAATCAGACACTTTGTCATAGTCCCACATACATAAAATGTTATGCAACATTTTCAGCCTTTGACAAACAGACTCCTCACTTTTTCTGGTTACATCCTAAAGGTGTCAGCTATGTGTAATGGGAGGTTTGCTCTTGATCATATTTTATTGCTGACTGAGATAATATCTTTTTCTTCTTTCAACTTCAGGGTAACACCGGTGTTCACTGTGTCCTGTGTAACAGGAGAGAATCTGAATCTTGTCCGGAAATTCTTGAATCTTGTGCCTCCAGCTCGATCACCCATGGATCAGGAGAAACTAGCTCAAGAATGTACCGAATATCAGGTAAGTACGTGTTTCCCAGCTCTTGTAGACTTGCTGAGAGCATTCATTTGCTTTGACATCCTTAGACTTTGCAGCTAGAAGAGTATTCAGGCATATTTCACCAATCTCTATAGCCATCAGACGAGTATAATCTGTTTGTATTATCGTTATTTAGTATAAACAACATTGTTACATTGCTGTGTGTACTGAATTTAATAACAATTTTGTGTATGATGTGTGTGTTGCAGGTTGATGAAATATTCAATGTTCCAGGTACTGGTCCTGTTGTTGGTGGCACTTTGGAGAGGTGAGCAGTGATACTATTGTTGCTCTCATATTAGAGTGTAGCTCATAGAGACAATGCACTTGACTAAAAGGTCATAGTTTTCAAAACCTTGAAAGAATGTGTAGGGTTGTGGCATAAAATTGGGGCCGTCATGCATGTAAAGATGTGGCTGCTAGTGAAAGTTCAGCTGTAGTTACTGTTTAGTGCCCTCCTTCCAATAAGTGAACTCGTCTAACAAGTGCTCTCCCTCGAGTGCTGTGTTTTTTACATCTGATAAGTGCCCCTGTTCTAATAAGCACCCCATAGCAAAAGTGACATTCAAGGCATTGACATAGAATAGACTGATTAGACAAATAAATTATGAAGTCTACTTTCTCATCTGAATGTAATATTGAACGTTATGCCTATCAGTTCCCCTTGCGCTACATTTCTTAAGCTGCCAAAAGTAAATTGTTGGTGATCATGGCTATTTTGTTTCTTCAGGGGTGTTCTTCGTGAAGGAGATCAACTGCTCTTAGGTCCCTCTATTGACGGACACTTTCAGCCAGTGACTGTGACATCAGTGAAGAGAAACCGAGCTGCTTGCCGTGTGGTCCGTGCAGGCCAAGCTGCCTCTGTGGCTATCAGTGGAATTGATAGGAGTTTACTAAGACGAGTAAGATAGAGCCGATCTCTAGTATTTGCGTGTGGTAAAAATGTTTTACAAGCCAATTGAAAGCATTTGAAAGTTATTTGCTTCACTGGCAATTAGCTATGCAGGTCAATCTGAGCACTGTGTTGTCTCACCACACCTGGCCCCAGTTGTTCAAAGACCGGATAATGCTATCCACAAAACAAACTATGCTATCCGCCAAATAGTGATTTATCCAATGGATAGCATTATCCACCTTTGGAACAACCCAGGCATGCAAGTCAATTGGCTCAAAGGTTCACTCTTTTAGTGTCAATACTCTTTATTATACAACCTGTGGTTAAGCAGTTGGTGTGTCAGAGTTCGATGACAGTTGGTAGTCAGAGCCCCTATAACTGTCATGTATAGTCTCAGTAGGCAAAACACTTGTCTACAATTGGCATATGAGTTGATATCCCCAGATTGTTGTTGATAAAAAAAAAATATCAACAAGTCTACAAATAATAATGCTAGAAGGTAACCTGCCTTCTCCATGGGAGTAGTGACAACAGATTTATTGCTACAGAAACTGACTTTTAGGTACCTTGAAAGGGTGGTTATTACAGAGAGAATTTTGGGAACCATTATTTGTGTTTACCGGTACTTTATCTTGTTTACATTTGTTACAGGGCATGGTTCTCACAGATCCAGTTCAAAAACCTCGCTCCTGCTTGGGATTCTGGGCAGATGTGTTTCTTCTGTTCCATACTACATCAATAAGCAAGCGTTTCCAGGCAACTGTGTACATAGGAAATGTTATTCAGACAGCAGTTATTGAGGAGATGAACAAGGTATAGAAGAAGTGCGAGCAAATCTTAATAAACAAATTTTTCAGTAACACTGGTATGGTTTGAACTCTAGAATAGAATCAAGCAGTCACACCTCTCCACGACAGCCACCTTTGGGACAGAGGAAAGTGGCCGTTGTAGAGAAGGAAATTGGGTTTTGTATACACTGTTCATCAGTCACTGATTAATACCCATTATCAAGAGTTTATTGTGGCAGTTGGGACATGCGTTAGTGAGTGAATGTATGTGTCATCCGCCGCGACAAAAAAACCATTCCGTTGTAGAGAGGCGGCCATTAGTAGCGGTTTGATTGCACCTATAGTCTAGGATTGAGCTCTAGCCAGATTCACTGTGCTGTAACTTTACTCTCAATTGGTCTCCCTCCACTAAGGAGAATAATGGATTCCAGTAAAATGTCAGGGCAGCTTGACAAAATGTTGGGGGAAATCCGCAATGTACACCCGCACTTAATAGACAGAATGGTTATGAAACCTGGCAAAGTTCTTTGTTGTATGTTTTTGTTGACTATTTTGGGGATTGACCCTGCACAAAACCTGGCAAAATACAAAAGGTGGGTTATATGTGCTCATACAACTAAGCAATAGAATATTACAATTATGTAATTCATGCATAGTCAGTGAGCATAAAACAAAAGATGAGCAGGGTCAAGGACCTACCAACATCAATTTTAGCCTGTTTGTTTGCTTCTTTGATGTTTACCAGTGCATCTTAACCATTTTCCTCCATTAACTAATGGTACACCATACAACATACATGAATTAACCTTTCATACAATTTGACCTAGCAACATTGCATCTGAGAACTGACCCATAGTTTAATGCTCAGCTGTTGTTTTTCAGGAGTCCTTGAGGACTGGCCAGAGAGCAAAAGTTCGATTCAGATTCATCAAACAACCCGAGTACATTCGCCCAGGATCAAGGATCTTCTTTAGGGAGGGGCATACTAAGGGAGTTGGGCAGGTCCAGAGTGTGATTAAATACAGTCATGACACTGATAGATAGCACTGATACACACAAATGATCATGGGAGTGGTTACCAGTCCTCGCTCTGTTGATTTGGTTGAGTGAAAATGACACCGATAGATAGGACTGATATGCACAAAGGATGGTGGGAGTGATTACCAGTCCTCGTTCTGTTGGTTTCGTTGAAGGAAAATGTTTGCGTTTTGGACAGACAGTGCCTAGGCTCCTCGCTGGTTATCTGAAGTGACATCTGGTCGAGGGAATGAAATCGCGCGCGGTTAAGGTCTCGTTTGGAGGAAGTTTTAAGTATTTTTTAAAGCAGGAGTGGCAAAGATATTTTATGCATGGGTGTTGGAATGACTAGCAAGGCTCACTTGCAAAGCAAACCCTAAGAGAAGTGGTTTGACCTTGTGGAAACTAAGGACAAGACTGCTAAAAACGCTGGTCATCAAGAAGAGACTTTAACTTACAGTTCACTTATACTGTGTTGCCCAGTCATACCAAATATTGCATTTGTCTGAAAGCTGCAAAAATATTTCGTGCGTAGAGACGTTTCACCGAACCTGACTGACTGAATTGGAAGTTACTAAACTTAATGACAACTGGAGGGGATGGGAGTGGGGGCTTTTTTTTTTCTGTAATTTTCAGACCAGTGTGAATGGTTGGTGTGAATGAGTTGCATTTTAAAGAACGTTCGTAAAAAGTGTTGGAAATCAGTAACTTATGGTCATTACAGAGGTTTTTGTAGACTGAAAATATTTTCCGATTTTATAAGACCCCTACTTACTGGAGCAAGCCGTGAAACAACATTCATAGAACTCAGTGGGATACAAATAACGTGGGGTTACGTAATGGTTATTAGGTGGATTGTGTTGGATAAGCTGAAATATCAGCTGGTACCAGAAAAATTAATAAGTACCTTGCAGCAACCCGACGATGGTTTTAAATTTTTACCATGTATACACACAATTTTGTGGTTTTAACAAGTTTTAATTTTCCTGTAAATATATAAACTAATTAAGTATCGACTCTGGCCGAAGTCTTTATACGGAAGTTTTAAGAATCCATTGATGCCGAACTGGCTTTACCAGAAGAATTAAATTTGGGCTGCCTTAAATTGCTTCTTTCTTTTATGTTAACAGAGCATGGCTCGATTCAGGCTGTAAACTTTTGCATGGGTAAACTATGGCTGGGTACTTTTGCATGGGTAGACTCTCTTATCAAGGATGGAAAAAACATGTCCAGTGCCGAGACATATCGAGTCTGGTTTGACGATTATGTTTTTTTACCAAAGTACAGACTGTCGTGGGTGTAAAGAAATCGAAGGATTGTTTTTCGAAAGTTGACAACTACTAACTACTACTTTCACTATTTCGTGACCAAACGATTCAGGATGGCAGCTCCGCGATCGATTGTTTTGCAGCGATCCGAAGTGAGAAATCAAGTACGGTTTGTTTCGATCAGGACCATTCCTTTTTAACTGTTTACACAGCGGTTAGCCATAAATTATTAACTGCATTATTGAATAGCGACCATTTCGAAAAAGGTGGAAAGCGAAACTCCCGGGGCGAAACTAAAACCGCGCCGACACACAGAATCTTGCTATAGATGTAAACTCGGAACAAGCTTTAAGGTAGCCATGAAGAATTTGGCGGAAATTAGAGCGAACATCACGTATAATGCCGTTTTAGTTGGGATTTTAATCATTTACGGGCTGTTAGGAGCGCTCGTTTTCAGGAAGCTTGAAGCTGTGAATAGCGCTTCATTCACGAACGACGGCCAGCTTGAAGACTCGAGGGAAAACCTTCTGAAAGAGCTGTGGAATCAAAACAGTCTTGAATTCGACCAGTGGTCGACACAAGCGAGAAACAAACTGGATTCATACGAGAAGAATTTCATGTTCGAGAGTTCGAATACAGCTGCGTGGAGCTTGGCTGATTCATGGTCATTTTCTTGCACAATCTTCACCACAATTGGTAAGAAACAGATTTTTAACTTTGTTCAATGAAATACTCGATTCATACTTGATAAGCCTGCAGGTCTTACTGTTAGAGTTCTATATCATTCGCTATTGTTAGGGCTGAATTTTATTGGGTTTTTTTATAATTAAATGCAACTATTTTTTTAAAATTATTTTCTGGGAAACTTTCCGCGGGGATGAGGGAAGGGAGAACTACCTTTACTTTCACCCTCCCCCAGAGAGAGCTTGCTTGCAGGTCGGGAACACGAACTTGATAGTCTGTCCATAGACGTTAATTTTTTGCTGCGAGTTATTTTTGTTCTAGCGTTTGAGAGCGGCCACCCGCTTGCGTTCGGGCTTTTTTCAAATCCTCCGCGGTTAATACTTTTGCTAATTGCGATCACAAAATAGAGGGGTTGGGGACGGATTAGAGCTTGAAAGAGCACTCGAGCAATTACTTTTGGTTCCTCAGCTTTAACAGAGACAAGTTTGCTGGAATTATACAGAAAAATTACGATGCCAAAAGTGTTTCCATTTTCGAGCTAGGGTACCGTAAATCCTCCACTAATCCCCTCTAAAATACCTCTCCTCCCCTCCCCTCCCAAAACTCATGAAAAGACAGACTGTCCCACTAGTGTGTTTTTATCGTTCATATTCAACTCAAATTCAACTCAAATTTCAACTCAAGAAGAATGGATTATAAGTCCGTTTTTTTTAATAGAAGAACTACGATGCTATTTTTCGTACGCAAACCATTTCTATGGGATCGAACCGTGCCAAATTTTTTGTCATGTAAATCGGCATTCATGTAAAAGATACTCCCCCGGCAGGTATAGAGGTTTAACGGCATTTGTATTCAGTTGTTCAGGATAATTTTGAGGTTAATTTGAAATGGTTGTGAAATTCACTTTAATGGCACTTAACAAGTTCTTTGTTACATCCAAATTGCAATGTCGTTGCTCTTTCCATAAAAAACACAAATATATCTATATATCTCAAGATGGGAGTCTAAAAAGGACCATTCTTAATATAAGAGAGCTTTAATAAAATATAAGTAACTATAATTTCTACAAACAGCAAACTACTTGTCTGACTGTAACCTTCACAGCTTCTCTAAGTTCTCTAATTTTCCAACAGTAAAGAATCGGGTTTAGTGACGAGTTTAAGTAAACTAAAGTGATCGTATAGACCTTAACGAGGAGCTCCGATGAGGAAACTTCATTTTGAGGCGACAACAGTCGTCCTACGATGCCATCCAAAACAAATGGTAAATAACAAATAATTAAAGTTGACTGTATCCAAAGACTACTAGACACTGCTTTTCTGTATCGCGCTACGTTCGGCGCGGGAACTGCTTGGTTCGGTTGCTCTGGTTGAATTGGGTTTTGAAGATAACGGAGCTTACAATAGATCTTTGTGTAAGAGAATATCGAGGTCGCTAAGCAGAGGGGTATAAATATGTAACTGTACAATAACGTGATGAGATAATTCCAAAAGTACATTGCTGCAGCGGCAATGGAGACAACCCAAATGATAACGACAGTCGCATACATCCTTTTCAATGTTACAACTTGTCTGTATCTGAGTCTCAATAACAGGGCGAGAAGTCTGTCCACGCTTATAGCAGTCATTGTCAAAAACGACACTGAACCCAAAAGATATCCTGCGATGAAAGCTGAGGTGAATGCATAGGGACAAATGTTCCACCGTTTGGTCACCACAGAAATCAAATATGTAGCATACAGAGGCTCTGAAATAAGACCAACAAAGAAATCAGTTGTTGCCAGGCTGCAATACAAGACCTTCGATGGCGGATGAAGGGACGACTCCCTGCGAAGGGCGACCAGGATCAAAGCGTTTCCAAGAAATGCTGTAATGGACAGGAGAAGGATTATCACGGAAAAAATCGTCAGCTGGTTGTGTATGTTTCCTGTCGAAGCTTGCAAGCAATACACTTGTTGAAATGTTTGCTGGTGGTTTTCATCTCTAGTGAAGTTTGTCATCGCCATTAATCTGCAAAATGCAGCCAGACTATGCGCTGTGCAGTGTTCGTGCAAGTTGTTTACTTCGTCACGCACTGAAGTTAATTATAAAAAGCCACCGAAATAATATCGAAGCTGACGTATTCCAAAAAATGTGTCACATACGGTAAATAGTGTAAAACCGTAAAACGATATTAAAATGTGCAGATGGCCTGTCTTAAAGCATTAAATTGTCTAGCAAGGAAAAAGAATCGGGTTTCCCTCGTTAGATAACCAGACACTTATAGGCTTTCTTTTAGGCTTTCTATACATACAACGAACTGACTGGCCGTGAATTGCAGAGCTAGGAACTGTTTGTTCAGTTGGACGCAGGCTGAAAGGAAAGGATAGTTGTCAGTCATTAATCATTTAATGAAACACTTAGAATAACAAAGCTAAGAAACAGGTGGAGCGAAACGTTATTTCTTCCCGTCTGTAACATACACTGTATCCAGCAGATTTGTGTGGAAAAATTTGCACTGATCGCTTTAGAGGCAGCGGCAATTTAGAATAAAGCAACTCTGGCAAAGTTTTCACTTTCAGAGCAAAACGTAGCAATTAATGGTTATTAATTGAAGAAGAAAACAATAACAAACAAACAAAACTAGTGAGAGACAGTGGAGGGGAAGGAAGTCGGAAAAGCCGGCGATGTTTTTTCCTTGCCTTCTTCTCGCTATCATTTGCTCGCAGCGACGCTGTTTCCTTTGCTCGTGTGTTCAGTTTTCCACTCGCGTGCCCAAGTTTCCACCAAAAGCTCCTGCTTCGCAAGTTATGAAATAATAAGTAAATTACAATATTTAGAGACGAGAGCCACGTCAGCCCTGACCATCTATTNGCGCCCCCCCCGGGCCCCTTCCCTAGATCCGCCACTGCAGTCGCTATTTACGGATCAGATTGGATATTTGTTTGAAGGAGAAAACGGTCTGGATCGAGTGGATCGAGTGGAGCGCGTGGGGAGTTACGGTAATAGGCAGGAGATAATCCACCCTTGTATCCAGTCTTCTTTTCCCCAAAATAAACACCTATAGTGACCGGCTACGAGCCTGGTTTGTATGAGCAATGTCACGGGAGACATGCAAGAAAAGTTGCACGGTGTTTGCAGAGGAAAATAATTTTTTGACAAAAACTATCACGTTTAACTGTGAAATAAGATAAAGGAGGACTACTGGGCATTTCCAGAGCAGGGACAAAATAAATGGCAAAATACTTTTTAAAGCAAAAAACAAAACGAACATTCAGTAACAGCGAAAAAAACAACCAATATGAGGTTGTAGTGTTAGCACACAAAAAATAATTTTATGAAAAACATTGCTCCACATATTTTCACCAGCGACAGCACGTAACGTTCCGTGTCCTTTTTCCTCAGGTCTCGGCGATTATGTGCCTCGGAATATGCACCACACGGTGTTCTTTGGCGGGTACATTATTGTGGGTCTTGTCCTGGTTATCATGTTATTTAGTGCCATAGAGGAAGAGATTACAAAACGTTTGGACAAAATCAAGCAAATGGTTGGATTGGTTGAAAATGGGCACAAGGACAAGAAAGACCGCTGAGAACTCATTCCGCCGGCGATTCTGTGTGACTCGAAATTTGTCCTACCTTGATCTCCGTCAAGGTTGACTCGTCCACTTGGTCGATCTATTTGTTTTGCGCGTATTCTCGCGTGACACCACGGTGGAAGATGCTTAATACGTACAACCAACAGGTGAAACAGCAGGAAAGAACAACAGACAAGAAGCTGGAAACATATGGAATCAAAACACTTATTCAATTTTGTAAAACCGTGACAGCACATAATGATGACAATACACTAGCCTGCGGGCGGATTAAGGACGACGCGGGGAAAAAGTTGGAAAGTAAGGCTCACGTTTGCCGCTTGAATCGTTCTGAATCAGCCAAGTTTGAGAATTAATTTTATTGTTCAGTGTGGCAACATAGCTACTGTTGTAACTTTTCTTTATTTAATTGGGGGCGCATATTTCTTACAATATTTATACATTTTCGAGTCAAAACTCAATGACGGTCTGGGATTTCTTCCCTCTCTGATAAGAGTATCGAAGCTTCCTTGCTGATGACGTAGCTATGTAGAAATCCGTGTAGTGTCACTGATTGGTTGATGCGCAGTTTTGAATTTTCGCGCGCAAGTAACAACCAATCAGAGACACTGAACAGATTAGAGACACTGAACAGAGTAGGGCATCGGTATGGAATTTTTTCGGGTCCAGTCTCAGACGTTCCTATTAACGGTAGCCTGCGTAGAAAACGAAAAACGGGGACGAGGGGGAGGAGCGTTTTTCACTTTTTTTACCCCTTCACCATTCACGCCTGTAGCGCAAGCTTCTAACTACAGCGTTGGAAGAACTGCGTGCACCTTTGTTTATTGAATTGATACTGAAGAGAATGAAAGAGTACTTGAACCTTTCAGGAAAGATCTCTCCTCATTTGCGTGTGGGTAGTAAACCGGTACCAGCTGTAGCGAGACTCTACGTCCTCGTTTTCTATTTTTTTGCCTTCTCCTTCTTTCTCTTCTTATCGTCTGTAGCTTCTCCCTGTATTGCCAGCAGAGCTCGCGGATCTCTGATGTCATACCCCAGCCTCTGAGCTTGAATTGCCTGAAGTCTCGACTTTTCTTTTTCCTCTCTTCTTTTAGCCCTGATTTCTCGCATCCTTGTTTTATACTCCTCGATGATTTGCGGCATCTTCGCCATGTTCTCCGCAATTTTTTTACGTCTGTAAAGTTAGCACATAATCAATAATATTAGCTTCATTTCTTTTCTGGAGCAGGGCGCAGAAGGAACTTATTGGGGTGGGGGGAGGGGGGGAGTGCTCCCGTAAATGTTGGATAGGTGTGTGCCGCAAAGGGTTTTAAAACCTGAACAATTTAGGTACCCTATCTAAGGATCACACCAGGAACACAATGTCAACAGGGGCAAAAAGATCAGGAACCCCAAAAACCATATCCTGTCTCACAGCACATACCTATATAGCCAATATATGGGAGTACCCCCCCCCCCAACTGGGAACTTACAAGGCTAACAGGGTCATTTCAATCAAATTGCAATCAACTAATTGTGATAACTCTCTGAGTTCTTTAATTTATTACAGTGACTGTGCAACTACTTTAACCTGGCCTTTTGGAAGAAATACCTGTTTAACGAAAATATCCACTGGGGGCAAATGGTGGTGACTTTATTTGCAAATGGACCAATAACATATTTAAGTGTTTGCACAATGACAGTATGCCAACAATTGCATATGAAGTGAAAGGAAGGCAAGTAAAGGTCTGTTTTACTTAAATTTCCATACTACCCTACTGCTCTATACTGTCCATACTCTGCAGATCCCATCCAAAGAAGCAAATCATTCTCATATTTGAACAACAAAATGTCTTGAAATTGCAAGGGGAGGGGGGGGGGGGGTGAAACCTGCAATCCCAGACAAAAGACTTGGGACATGAAGCAAGTTCTCCCCTCCCCCCTCTTTCAATGTTGATAATCAGGTGGTTTTTCCCTTTTTAGTTGGAGAAAATGCGATATTTTCCAACATTGATTAGGGGGGAAGGGGGATACGTGATACAGCTCAAGTGTCCCAACGACTTTTGGCCGGGATTGTGGGAGAGAAGTCGGTGGGACCCAGGGAGGAGGACCCTGTTCATGCACAAGGGACAGGATCGAGGGAACAGTTGATATGATTCTTTACCTCTCTTCCTGCAGCATAACACGCTTGTGTCCTTTTGGAGTTCTGTCAAGGCCTCTATCAGCCATTGGCTTCTGTGGCCAGTAGTAACCTTTGGCTATGTATTCATTTCTTAATTTCGCTAATTTTCTGGCATTGTACAGAGGTTTTATCCACTTTCCATCCACCAATCGACCTCTTGAGTTTCTTAAAATCTCTGCCACTTCAGGATGGACTGAAGATTAAGGTTAACAAAAAACAAACATTAGTACTAAGATTGCTAAGATGTATGAAATCTGGGGCCATCAAAATCACTCTTCTTCTATCAAAACTCCATTATTGTACCTGGTGTGTGTTCTTCCATAACTGGTGTTCCCATTCCTTTAGTCTGTAGCACATGAGCTGGCGGATCAAGCTTTGATTCATCTGTTTCTGTTGCTTTCTTAGACTCTGTTGCACTGCTGCATAACTTCCTATTCAAATAAAATAAAAAAATAAGGAAATTTTGTTTAATAAACCATGCGCAAAAAAGCAATTTTTTGATTTGCCCTACCTCCCTTACCTCAGGACAAGACTGCCTCAAACAATTCCCCACCCTTGGGCACAAAGGTCCTGACTTGTCCCAGAGGTTGCCCGGGGGTGGTGGTAACTGGTGGAATTGAACCACGCATTATTTCTTCCCCACTCGAGAACCTAGCCTCTAAAAGGGTTTTCAAGGGCATGGCGTAGGGTCTGAGAGATTTAATATCGAACAGTCAAGAATAGACTAGAAACTCCAAAATAAGCTGTCCCAAGACCCCAGCAGACGTTCACGTAATTGTAGTCGGTTTTAGACCTCGCTCGGACAACCTTAAATTAAAGACCCACTCAAATTATAGCCTTCATATTGAATTTAAACAGATACAAGATGAAGAACACAACTGATGTATGTCCACCCACCTGCTAATTCCTACTGAGACTACTCCAGAAATACATTAAATATGAATTATAAGCTTAGTTAAGATTACTAGCTGGCTTAATTTTTTAGCTTAGCTATTGACTTTAAGCTTCTTTTGTTTACACATTCACCCGATACAATGATTTTACACAATTGTATAACTTTCATGATTTAAAATCACTAACCTTTGCGTCATCATTCTTCCAAAAATGAGTCTATAAGGAAGATTTTGAAGCGAAAATGACCGCCACAACAGATTGCAATTTTGGCACATAAAAGCCGCCATTTTGGTCGCCATCTTGGATTTGGATGAGATCATGTGACTGATAGTACCAAATTTGGAAAAGAGTTCCTTATAAGGAACATGCCTCCACAAACTGTCGTTGACCAAAAATTATTTGGTAGTTGATATGGCGGAGGGCGACTTGAATGTTGATAGCATAATATCCCGCTTGTTAGAAGGTTTGGACACTTCATATCCTTAACTTTCTCCTTCACTTTCTCTTGACAAGATGTAAACTTTATCTTTACTTTCGTAGCTCGCGGTCGACCGGGAAAGAGTGTGCAACTAGCAGAATCTGAAGTTCGTGGACTATGTCTGAAGTCTAGGGAAATCTTTTTGAATCAACCCATCTTGTTGGAGTTAGAGGCNTTAATTCTTATTTGCACATTTTCATATTACAACGTATAAGCTTCAAACCATTTGCTATGCAACAATAATCTAGCTTTATTTACATAAGTGTTTTTAGGAGTGAATTTATCATAAAAACCCACCGACACTTTGAGCTAGATAACGTAAAATTCATTCTGAAATGAGGTCATCCAACGTACATCGCGTGTAGCGAAATCTGAGGAGTATCCTAACGAAGTTTGGGTATAGGCTGCCAACTAAACAAGCCTGGTAGAAGCTTTGACAATTAGGCTCAGGCAAGCCATTTCACAAATCACCTTTTACGGTAACATCGACTGAAATAATTTATCAAAGACTAATTACAAAATGTTCAATACTATGAGTAAGGCCAGCTTGCCTGCAGACGTGAAGCTGAGAAAACAGAGAAATCCGCACGCATGCTGAAGCAACCCTGCGTCCATCAATTATTTAGCACACTTCTTCTTCCCCTAAAGCGAATTCTTTATTTAAGAGCACTACGGAACACTAAAGTCTCGGGTCAAAGCTTTCAATCTTAATGCTGTATAAATAAATTTGCTTATCTTTTACCTTTAGAGAAATCATGTATAATCCGAGCGTCTGTTCTCACATGTTGGCTTCTCTGTGATGCTGATAGGTGCGCGCGAAAATTCAAAACCATGCAACAGCCAATCAGAGACACTGCATGGATCGCTGTAGCACTATGTTATCAGTATGGAAATTTTTTGGTTCATTCTCAGACGTGAAAAAGAGCAGATAAAGAAGGGTTCTATTTGCTAGCTATTTTAGCTACTGCTTTGCATTGTTTTGACATTAATTCTAAAAGAAAATGGAGCTATTACGATACTTTTTAGCTAATGATTTTCTCAATACTTTATTCCTATTTATCTGAGATCAATAAATTAAACAGATATCAGAGTTAACACCTTAGCAATTTAATGCTTAAAACTTAAGCCGTTTAGCGGACGGCGGCCCCTTAGCCATCCCAATTGTGCACTATGCATTAAAACCAGTGAAAAAAATTTTTATGCTTTTTTCAAGATTCCCGGGTTCTTTTCGAACCTTTAACTCGGGAATATGCCCTTACCATATCAACGGGTGCTAAGGTGCTTAAATATTTGTTTGTTTTCTTTTTTTTCCATAAAAAATCAGAAACTTCATAAGCCTCACACGCATGCGCTCTTTGGGCTTGTCACGCATTCCTTCCCATTCCCGTTCCTTCCCATACGAATTCCTTCGCATGACGAGCTCAAATAGCATCTAAGTAAAATTAGCTTCAATACTACCATTTTTTTTTTCTTTCCACACTCTGGACCTAGCCCTACGGTGAGTCTACATCAACTCGAATGAATAACGAGTCATCCACGATGTAGCGACGTGACCGCAGTCTCTCGTGTGACACGAACCTCGCGTATCCACGACCGGGTTTCTCTTCCTCGGTGGGCCTCGCAAAGTTCTCCAGTTTAGGGTTCGCTCTGAAGTGCATGACAATGTTCTCACGTTCGTCTGTGTTATCTTGCTGGTCAATCAGCGTGAAAGTGACCTTCTGGTGGAAAGGCCAGGACAATACGGCGTCGTATTCACCTTTCATGACGATAACAAATGCTGAGAGATGTGTATTCTTTCCAGAGCCGTCACCATTGGGGTTGACTGACAATTTCAGTTTATAACCATATGGCCCTGTGTAAAAAGGTTCGCTGTCCATTTTGTTGTTTCTGCCACTCTTGGCTTGACGTAACATTTCGCTGAAGCCCGTTATCTTCCATAAAAATATCGGCGATTCAGTCTTCGTCTTTTGCATTTCTTTCTCTTGAACAGATACCTTAAGGACGAGGTTGTCGTTTTCTTTCTTCAGGTCTTCAAGCTGTTTCCTGAGGTTGGTTTTCTCGTGATCAAATTCTCGGTTAAGCTGGACGATTTTCTTGCAGGCAAGGCCCAGATGAACTGTGGTTTGATCCTCAATATGCCTTTCCAGATGCCTTCTCTCTACCTACCAACACAACACAATTCAGTCGTCAAATTTTAGACCCAAAACTCTTTCCAAAAAGAGCCTGAATATAACCCCACAGGTTAATATTCAGTTTTAGGTAAAAAAAAAAATACAATATTCAGAGAGGAAGCCACATCAGCCTTAGCTGGTTTTCATGCAGGTCCTCTATCCTGGTCGAATTGGAATTTGGAGACGTTGGTTTTTGTCGAGGCAGGAAAATCGGACAACCCTGAGAAAAACCCTCAGAGCAAGGTGGGAACCAACAACGGACTCAACCCACATATGGCACCGAGCCCGAGTCAAACCCGCGCCACATTGGTGGGAGGCGAGCGCT